CACACTTACCCCGGCCATTTATCCGCCGGTCACGATTAAATACTCGGCAATGGATCCTCAGAAACGTTCGTTTCTCTCATGACGGGATTCGAACGAAAATGTGTGCACAGCGACGCAACAATCGGGCGCGAAAATTTCGTTTCCGTGACGCGCCGTTCAAAGGCACCACGAGAATCCAGAGATTACGCGAACTGATCGCGGTGATCAGTTTCATTGAAATCGACACGGTCGTTTAGAGATGTTACTAAATCCACGGGATTTCATTACGGCACGTTGAATTTTTACGGTGAACGCTTAATCCAGTTTGCGGTCGCTCGATGACACCCGCGAGTTTTCGCTTCAACGGAATACTGCGCTCGATGAATTCGTTGCGATTTAATGGAAATTGATAGATTTTATTTTAAAACTCGAATTGTTTGCTGCTTTTAAGCGAACGGAAGAGTCTGTTTAGAATCTTGTGTTCTCGGTAATTGAACGAATCGATGGGCGAGGATTGGTTCTACTTTCCTCTTAATGGCGCTTGTGAGGCCTTCAGTGAGTATTTCTGGTTTAGTACCATTTCAGAGTAACTTTGGTAATTTTTAATATAAAACAAGGTACGAGAACATTATTGAAATGCAATTTTATGGTAACTAACAAGTCAACACATTATGACATCTATGTAATTTCGTGGATTATATAAAACTGCATTAATTGTTCATTAGTAAACATTTGTGGTCTGCGATATGCCCGGATTTTCGTTCCAGAAATGGTATCAACATTGTTTAAAGCAAATCAATTCTAATGTCTCACTTTACTTATTCGCTTCTAATGTTTGGAAACTACTACAATTACATTCATAAACTTATTAAACTAATTGTCCTGCCTTTTAAAGGAACTAATCCGAAGACAAACGCGTGGGATTCATACACAAGAAAATTGATGGTCCCTCCCCGGTACCTGCGGAACGGAACAAAGCGGAATAACTCACGTCGAACATATTGTCAGAGGAGTGTTTTCTCATTCGTTTTAGTTCATATCGAGTCTGCGCAATTATCTTTATTAAACGCATCGCGGTGCGGCCGTGTCGCCTGCGGTTCTGCATTAATTCGACCCAGTTGCGATCCATAGAGCTTCTGCGGAATTTCGTAATAATATAGTCAGGGACCGCGAGCACGGTCGTTTATTTTCCTTTCTTTAGCATCGTTGCTTGTTGCGCATCGTTACAGAAAAAGAAAGAGAGAAGAGGCGGAGCGGTGTGTCAGGTTTCGTAGAATTCGCCGGCACTAACTAGGAATTAACTCCGGCGAGTTGCATTCCCGTAGCTCCGATTCCGTGTGGATATCGATACTTTCACCGTGAATCCGCGCGTCTGTGTTGTACACGTGCGTGTACGCACAGGTGGGTCACGTTTCTCGCCTACGTTCGCTGGGCGGCCGCATAATGCACGCTTGCATCGTCACGTGCCTCGTCTAACAAGGAACATCAGCGAAGTGTGACACGCCGATTTTTTCTTCTTTTACCATGGAACTCACCGCGAAACTAACGTCTGTGAAAATATTCGACGGACGCTTCCACCGGCAACCCATATCCTCGTTGATTCGAGTGCTTAAATTCGTTAATACTTCATGGTCCGCGCACCCGACGCAAACTGCATCGTTTCACGTCCAACATTAATCACCGCGTTATACAGCGCGCAGTTTACATTTTAATTCGTGCTCGTCTTTGCCTCTGTTAATTTTTTAAGGATTCTTAAAATGTATAATGGCGCCTAATATGGAATACCACAGTATATCGAAAAATAAATAACTTGGGGTGATCGTTACCATGAGAAACACTTCATTAATAATGGAAAACGGAGTTCGAGAAAATGGAAGCTTTGTTTATTTATTCTTTGCAATTCCATAAATATTCATTTTTCACGATAAAAAGGAGTTTTATTTACTAATTACCTAAGTATTCCATATTAAGAGTCATTTTCTCTATTCGTTGTTTTTGACTTCACATCTTTTTGTGGTTTGAAGGCATTTCAATTTTTCCATTGTTACCGATCAGTATATGAATGTTCATTATCCTCCAGATATTTGATTCCTCTGAAGTTCTGCGTGTATTATGTCACTCCTCACGAAGAACCAAGAAACTTCTGTCTTCGTCACTTGTTACACGGTTAAATAGATTTCCGCGGTTTGAACACTGAAGGGTGGTTTCACCTCCTCAACGTGAACATGGGACGCTAGAAAAAGAAGTGTGTCGAATGTTATCAGAAACCCCGCGGCCGTGTGAAGTTTCAAAATCGGCGTGACACAGTTAGCTGATGTTTCCTTGTAAGTGCGGTCGCGGTCTCGCATGTGCATGCACGTTCGCGATTCGCGAAGGCAACGGTCGGTCCACCGTGACGGCCTGAAAAACGGGGAGAGTCGTACGCGCCGAGGTTTCAGCAATAAGTGGTGGTCTCTTCTTCTGTTTTTTCTTCTTTCTTTCCGCCTTTGGGAATTCGTTTCTTGACACGGATCTTCCCTGATTCTCGCCGATAGCATATAACCAGTGTATACCAACTGACAAGAATCGTTTCAGCGGCATATGTATCACTATTTTAAGCATCTTGGTTGCTTTTCCTGAAACACGACCTACCACACCTGTTCAAATTCTTTAAGGAGTTGTAAAAACAGCAATGCATAAACTGCGAATATCTATTACATTTGATCCAAGAAAATATTTCCTTCATTCTCGGATTCATTCTCTTCGTTGCACTCAATTGTTCCAATTTGCGTTTCTCGTACTGCGGAAGCGTACGGAATATCACGTGCGAGTTGCAAGATGCACAAATTATCTACAAGCCTGGCATCTCGGAGCACGTCACTACACGTCGTTCAGTAGGCAATAATTGGCCCGATATTTCGCGCGGCGTGCACGAAACACGTATCGAAACGCATTAAAAGCTTTCTTCCCCGAGGCGAGGATCGGCCACGATTTAATTGCGTTTAGTCAATCAACCCGACACCGCGCCTCCTCGAGTTTCTCGCGTACATGCCGGCTAATAATCGGTGGCCACCGATCCATCGCGCTCGAAACCCATTTCGCGCCGATCTCGGATATTCTTATCCGCCTCGGAACGTTTCCAACCGGCTCCGATTTTGATCCCCCGCCCCCGTGAAAGTCTCGTTTCAGGGTTCCGTACGTAAAATGAATTTCACCCAGGAGTCGATTTGTCTTGCTCGTTTTTCCCGGTCCCGGCAGCGTTTGATCGATCCCGCGGTTGCATTCCTTCTATTTCGCGTTTCACTTCGAGCCACTTTTGTTTGTCGAGCACCGCTCCGCCGGCGAAGCTTTATACATCGCCGCGAACAATTAGAGGATTGCGTTCCCGGACGATTCGATAGAAGGAAACGGATACTAGTGGCGAAGGAAATAATGCGTTCACAATCTCGTGATACAGGGTCATTCAAAAGAACCATGCGGGATTGATCATCTATCAATCAGCGGTCCCATTTACCATTGGAACGGGTTTCATCGAATTAAACGGATGGGTTTACTTCGGCGTCGATCAATGAAACGGTACAGGCAAAATGAACAGACAGTAATTTCATTTGTGAAAGATACTGTATGACTATTGACCTGTTTATCTGTCTTTATCTACTTTTATCTATATGTATTTTGATACTGGAAGTGGAAGCTTCCTCTGAATGTGATTTATTATATAAATATAAGGTGTTTCAAGGTATATTGGAATCTTCAAATTTAAATTTATTATGAAGTAAATTAATTGATCGACTGATTTCACACATTCTGACAATATTAGTTCGATGTTTACCAATCAAGTTGTATATAGAAAGTCCATCTGCGTGATCCGGTTCAGTTCAATCGATTTGAATGGAACGGTACACAGCGGTTGAAATGAAACTGAATACTTTTAGAAGTGTATGTGTTATTCAGTTAAGCTTCACTTCAGAAATTGAATAATCTGCACCATACAACGTAGGTACACGGGATGTCTCATTTAATTTGATCACCTCAAATGTTTCTGTCATTATTATACTTGCATAACATTGTTTTCTACAATAAATTCTGCTTCGTGGTGGCATGTACTTGTAATTTCATATTTGATGGACAGGTTAATGATTTTATCTGATTCATTTTATTTCATTTGTCTACAGTCATTTTAAACACGGATATCAATTAGTATTTCCGGCCCATTTTCAGAATCGTTGGAAATAACATTAACAAAATACAATTCGATTCTGTTCGATCAGCCAGTATTTCACCGAGTCTCTCCTTTTTCCCGAAAGTTAACGAACGCGGAGTGCGACAGGTGTCGCTCGAACGGTTACGAATAGCATAATTTTGATGGTATTGAGTTTCTTTCCGGCGTGGATGGCGGAGGGAATGAACGGTGCTCGGTGTCGTAAGCAATTTGTATGGAACAAAAGCGGATCATCGTCCCTGGAATTTGCATTGTTTGACATACTAGAACCAACCCCGTGAAAGGAGAGCGCTTTAAGTAAGCTTCGATCTAAAAACATTCACCATCTCGCACGACTTTGATGGATTCCTCTGTGGACAACAGCGGCTGGCGTTCCTTCCTCCCAGACTCCCATTTCCTGTCCCTTTTCCTGATCGAAACAGAAGGAACGCATTCTCCAGAGTTTTACCGTGCAACGTTCCAGTTTCCTCGGATCTAACGCGAGTTATGCGCTGGCCTCTGACTTTCCAGCTGCCTGGAATATCACCGATAACTGTACCAGCAATTTCAATGATCAGACATGAAATCGCTGTTACGACGTGTACCGTTTCCTTGAAAATAAGTTAACCGCGGATCGCTATGCAAATCGTTCGTCCCATTGATCGACCCGACGATCGACGATCCAATCGGTTTTATGTTACCGTTCCATGGTTACTTTCCGATTCTCGGCCTATGATCACGCTATTGCAGCACACATATATTTATAATCGCGATGGAAATTGTATTTCCAATGTTGCCTGTTATGTCAACGTTACTAAATATAGTTGTGACCACGTTGCAGCGCCTTACGAGGGTGGAATATGGAAGGTGAGGGTTCACTTGCCCGACCACTACCCCTTCAAATCTCCTTCGATCGGCTTTATGAACAAGGTGTACCACCCTAACATTGACGAAGTCTCGGGCACTGTGTGTCTAGACGTAATAAACCAGGCCTGGACTGCCCTTTACGGTACGTATTTACGAATTTTCCCACCCTGTTCGATACCTTCGATCGATATCTTCTCGCGCATTTATTTGATACGTGTTTAGATTATTCAATGTTTTTAAGGAATTCTTAAGAATAGCGTTATTGTTTTTTGGAGGATGTTTCATGCCTTCGGATTCAGCGTTCCGTTTTCTGTTTCAGATTTATCGAATATATTCGAGTCTTTCCTGCCCCAACTGTTAACATATCCTAACCCAATTGATCCCTTAAATGGCGATGCTGCGGCCATGTATTTACATAAACCTGAAGAGTACAAGAAGAAAGTAGCAGGTGAGTTCGAAGAATATGCTAAGCTCTTTGGAGAACTGAGAGCTGTTCGTTTCGGATTGTAATATATGAAATGCTCATTCCTCCGGAGTGAAATAAGAAGACACATTGAAACATTCTAATCGAGCATTGAATAGTATTGAAGTATTAGATACTACTTTAACTTAAAATTTTGTGTTCAAGTTTAATGAGATGAGATCATTCTTTTCCAGTAAAACAAGCTCCGAGATTTGAGTATAATATTTCTAACTTTATTGATTGTGGTGATGCTAAAATTGTATATACTTTTCACGTTTTGCTGGACATTATTAACACATTCGCTATCTCATGAGTTCTTTATATATTTATATCGTACAACGATGCGGTAAAGACTAATGTAGACTTAGTGTTACTGTAAAAGCGAATGTGTTAATCTGTTCAATAATTTACCACTCATTATTTATCTTCTTGAGTTTCATTACATTCTTTGTTTTTACAGACACCTTTCAAATAAATTGCATCATAAAATTTGTTTTGTTCCAGAGAAAATTGCATCGAATCATTTTCAATTATATTCATTCGCTCACGACTGAAAAAACATTATTCGATTTTAGAAGCTTCTTAACTCTCTCGAATTAGGAAAGTTTCTATGTTCAGAAGTCACGTTTATATTTATATAAACGTTGTTCGAAATTTTATCGCTGTTCGAATCATTTGAAAATGACGAGTTTCGTATGTTACAATCCATCAGAATCCGATCCGTCATTTCAACGAACTCTTCATCAATTATCGTGCGATAATATAATATCGGTGACGGTCTATCCACATAGATTATTAGTGGTATTAGCTAGGGATGCAATTTCCTTCTTGATTTCTCGGCAGATTACGTGAGGAAATACGCGACGGAGGAAGCGCTAAGGGACCAGGAGAACGGCGACACCGGAAACGGAATGTCGTCCGACAGCGAGTCTTCGATGAGCGACTTCAGCGAGGACGAGGCACAGGACATGGAGTTGTAACCAAATATTTTACCATCCGTACCCATATCCTTAATCTCGATTCCCTGTAAACTCCGATCGCTCGACCTACCAAATAGATGCTTACATTCGAACCTCCGGACCTCACTATCGGTTTAGCCACGTGGCACTCTCGTCACTTTGTTTTATAGAAACATCGAACCACGTCCAGGTTGCTGTTAATTATTCGCGAGGTGTAATTCGGTTATTATAATTGCCGAACGCATGAAACAAAGAAAAAAGGAAAAAAGAATATATAAGGGAAACGATTCACTTGAAAGATAAAAGAACGAAAGACAAATAAGAAAACGAAAAAGAAAAACAAAAAGGGGTGTATCGATGTACATAAACGAGAAAGAGAATCGCTTTTGGAGTTCTCTTTACGCGACACGGTGTATCCTCGTCGTCGTCGTTGTCGTCGTCGTCGTCGAGGATCAAATCGGAAGACGTCGACGGGAGAAGGGACACGCTAATTTACTCATCGAGATATATCAATTTTCTGGAATGAATGCTGGTTCGATCGACGCCCAGTCGATTTTACCTCAAATTCTCTGCCAACGCGTTTCCAACTTCCGTATCGATCGGTCGGAATGATCGCGAATCCGCGCGTTCACCCCTTGCCTTAAGATTTCTTTCCTAATTCAGCTTGCAACGGTTGCCTTATTTTTACTAATTTCCCAGATGGAAAAACTGTATATTCATCGTGAACGTAAATTCACCGCGGGTAAATCGTATTCATAAATAGAAAATGAGTACTGTTTTCTTTCAATTGGAGCGAACTGAGTAATATTAATTTTCATGAAATTCAATGAAGAATCAATAGCTTTAGTCTAACTCGATTTTAAACGGGCAAGAGGTTAGCGGAGAGAAGCTCGTGCCGCGAAACGATGAGATGAACTTCCACGGGAAAGCTTCTTCTTGGTCACATCGCTCAGTTGTTCCTCGTTTGCAAATTTTTTTACTCCCCTCTTCCTTTCTTTCCTTCCTTCTTGCGTTTCTACACGTCGTTACCTAGTTGCCGTATATCAGAGATGAGCACGCGATCCGCGCTTCAGTTGTCGACGAACGAGAACTAGACGCAAAATGATTAACGATCTTCCCTGTTTCCTTGGCAAAGAAAAATTAATTATCCCGTTTCACCGTTTGTTCGTTATTGGAAACCCGAGAATTTCGTGCGATGTAATGAATGTGCCCATCTCTGCGTTATACGGGCTTTATCATGGTGTCTGAACACGAAACTCGCCGGCTAATTTGTATTTCTTACGGGCGACGCAACACCTGAACCTACGTTATGCAGCTTTCCGTGCAACCGAGGCCGTAATCTCGAGCCGCCATCGTTGAACGTCCATTCCCCGCGTTTCGAAAATCCTGAAACGTAGAGCAACGACTCTTTTGTAACTTCTAAGTAAGTAGTAAAGCACGATGAGACCGTTAGAACCATCTGCGCACGCACAGGGGCGACGATGTGTCATGACCAATGTGTCGATTTATTCCTTGAAATTTCAGTTATTTTTCGTTCACTTTTACTTTCCGTTTCTTTTTTGTTTTTTTCGTTTTCGTTGCGATTTACTCGTGCCTTACCCTTACCAGCCTTCTTCCTTTCAAGCTCGCGCGGAGAAAAAAGAAAGTGGAAAATGGGTACTGGGTACTCCGGCTTCGTCTGATCAGACATCACCATCCCTGAACGTTTCCCTCGCAGGGCACAGCAACGGGAAAAGGCTTCGGTGACAGTGTTGAAGACACTGACGAATCCACGGTATAAACGGCGTTTAAATTGTGACCGGACGCCACGGCACCAGTCGAAATCCGCCCGACTCGCAGATTTTCATGGATAAGAGATCCCGTAGCTCCCCCAAATAAGCCTGCGGAAGGTCGCCGATGTAGGGCGATCATAAATTTTTTTTAAGAAGACGCTGCTGCGTTCTCATCGGAGTCGCGCCAGTACTCAGAGATGGACGTAGATCCGATTAACGCCGGAGGAAGCACAAGTGATCTGAACACCGCGGTTTAAACGATCGTTAAGAATTTTCGCCGATATCGCTGTTTTTCTTTGTTTTTTTTTTATATTATTGTTATTATTTTGTAACATTTATTGCGGATGTTCGTTAAAACCGTTTCAAAATTTTGCGCTTGGGACAGAAGCAACTGTAAGAAGACCTTTTATTTCGGCACCCGTCGAAGCTTTATTTTCTGTTAACCGTTTTTTTTCTTATTTTATACGATCAATATTTTTTACCAACCACCGTTAAATCGATCACCGCAGTGAATTTGTTCGATTGGAGAACGGTCGACGACGAACACGACTCAGTCTCGAGGATGAATGCGGGAGGAAAACGTGGGACGTTAATCGGAGAGAAATGGGAAATATGTCTAGGGACGATAGCAACTGTGACGACTCGTTGACGAAAGAATAATGATAGAAGGCGTATAACGACGATGCGTGAATTTAGACGAAGAGAAAAAGAAAACGAGAACTGTATACAACACCTTGGTGCACAATGATCCCTTCGTTTAGTTGTAACTTCGCTTCAAATTGATCTCTCTTGTAACGTACAAGCGGTAGGCTTGGTGAGTTTTTAGTGCCTTCTCGGGCAAAAAATTGTGCCTTATTGTTATGAGTCCCCGCGACGAAAAAAAAGAATGAAGGAAAAGAAAATGAGAAAAGAAAGGGAAAAAAGAGACAAGAAAAACGAAAAGAGGAAAGAGTCTTTTATTTGTGAAACCTGGTGAAATCGACGAGCACCGATTAACAAATTATCATTGATATAAAATGAACTGCTTCGGGTGAATACACGCTGAACGTGCAAACGCGTGCTTTCCGTTTTCGCGTTGGGACGTGTAACGTTTCAACGAGAAAATTACGATGAGCGTAGAAAAGTTTCAGCCGATAACGATTCGAATCCAACCGAGCACGCTGGAAATAAATTATTCGCAACGGAAGTCTGTAACGGAAACGTTGGAAATTCTCGTCTGTATTCTGCAGTAGGTTCACTCCTTAGTTTTTAACGAATGAATTTAATATTATCGTTCTATTATTATTCATATATGGGCGCGCCTATCGCACCACTTCTCGCAAACATTGTTTTTTTCTTTTTTTTACGTCGCCAGTTTCCGTGCACTTCGACGAAGAGTTTCACCTGAATTATCTTTTCCTTTGCCGAGCATTAGTTTCTTCGAAGGGATTGTCATCTCAGTTATACACACACATATATATATATATTTTTTTTCTTTTATTTATTGAAATATTTTTTTATCCAGTCGCGACGATGGTCGATGGTCTTAATTGCGATAGCCGCGCTCCGAATTTTAATTGTTACATCATTTCCTTTTATTTAAGGAAGGCTAAACACATATCCCCGTAAATGGTAAATATCGTCCGGATGTTTAGGTTATTTACGAATTATTTAAGACGTACTTTCGTGGATAATTTTTTGGTATGAATTCGCAGCGGCTCCATCCGTTGGTGAAGTGTATAGCAATGTATTATTGATTAGAAAAATGATTATTAAAATGGAGTGAAACCAACACCGGCGTTTTTGTGGCTTATTAGGCGCTCTATGCGCTTCACAACGTTCTTCTCGGGCTAATGTAACAGTATGTCTTAGGTCATCCCACAAGTAACACGGTTTTCTTGGACGCATACGCTCTATTAGAAATAAGTTTAGTTATTAGATGAAATTTTTGAAATTTTTAGCTATATACATTAGGTAACGGAAGCTATCAAGCGATAAGGTAGTTATAATTTCGCTGCATAAATTTTGTATAAAATATTGTAGTAGGTTGAAATTGTGTGTGTGTGTGTGTGTATAAATTGATACATTTTTCATGAAGTGTTAGTAATTATCTGAAGATTATTTACCAAGAGTTTAGTTATTTGACAAGACATATAAATTTGAAGATGCATTGAACAACTCGTATATAGAAAATGTTTATTATAGTCCACAGGCTCTTATCGTTGTTATGTTTCCGTTACTACTTCGTTATTAGTTGTAGAATGTACACTTTTGTACGCGATGGTTCACAACACCAAGCTTTTAGAAGTAGCGCATATTTCTTCTTTTGTAACAATTCCTTTACACATTTGCGAAATATTGTTTGTAAAATGACTTCAATTATCGTACGAGAATTATGCTGCAGTCATTTTTATAATGTTTCTCTTAACTAAATTAGATTTAAGTTAAATAAGGAGGCAATGATTTATAAGTAGTATAACTAGATAAAAGGAACGTATTACTTATGGGATGACTTAACAATTGCTCTGTCACATTTTGTTTTGTATCGTCCTGTCGTTGCGAAACAATTCTTTCCGAAACGAAGTCTTTCAAGAAAACGAAACTCCGCACGCACCGGATATCATAGTGAACCAATAAGAAACAATTGGTCGCAGACTACGTTGATTTCAAATCTGATTCGATGCAGTGAGGGAAGAAGAAGAGCGATTCATTTAGAAAGCCTATTTGTAATTCTTAGCAATAATTCATAGCAGTTTCTCTTAGTGTATTATCTGTGCTCCGTATCTCTCCACGAAACATTCTCTTTACTTCGAAGTAAGCTGGTTTAGTAGCTTTAATTACACTTCATTAGCACTCCGGGCATATATTTTTTTCTTTTTAGAACCAAATGAAAAAGGAAAGTACTAGGCAAAGAGTAAGAAGAAAGGAACAATAGAATTTTGCGTCTCTCCTTCCTGTAGATTACAGTGATCGAGGTAAAGTCGTATTCACAGATCTCACATTATTATTTTACTTTTATACATGTAACATAGGTTTATCGATTAATTATATATGTTATTATTGATCGTATTCGCACAACTCTTACTATGTACATGGTTTTTACTAATCAATTGTTTAACCAACCGAAAAAAGCATAGTTTTAATAATCATTTTTTATTTTTTTGCAAATGTTGTTTATCTCTCCTTATGTTTCTCATACGTACCACATGTTTTATTTCTTTAATTTCAGTTATCAATTGTAATAGGTATCATGACACAGCCTCCGTGAGAATCAATAAGTACTCTGAATTTATTGTACATTCAATGAACACGCGGACATATTTTGTTATTTCTTTCATCCATTAAGTTCTTTTCCTCTTCACGCTGAGAAGTTCCATTTGTATACTAATTTGCGACTTTTTCATCCGCAAATATTCACAAACAATGGACATTGATTGTATCATAAGGATACACTCATTTTCTTGTGTTGTTTATAACATGAAATCTCAATGGAAAATTACTAAATAATAATACACCAACATTATAATGTGTAATTGAACTGTAACTTTCGTAAAGTTTCCAAATTCACATAAAGGATCGCATCGAAGTAACGTGCTTTCGATCAAATTTCGGTAGAAATTACATACTATCGAACAACTACCATTCATCGAGTAACTTCCGTTATATTTTATTGTCTTTAAAATTTTTTCAACACTCACTGTTTTTAAAATGTTTTTCCGTTGATTATTTTTATACAAATTGTTTATCCAAGTTTTATAAAAATCGGCGAATAATAATTATTATTAACTTACATCTTCCTGTTCTACGGTTTTCATTTGCCTTTTTTCTATGGTACGCATTTTCATAGGAAGATTATAAAGGAGTCGTTATTTACGATTGAATTATAGCATTCGAGGTGTTCAAATATTGCATAACAACGGGACAATCAGATCGGCCATACTCGAGTCAACGATTTACTTTTTAGCTGAAATTGTACGAATGAAAGTGATGTACGTAAGTATACGAACGTGGGACAACTCCAAAAGCAATCAGTGACGAGGGATGCCATTCATAGCGAAAGCGAGCGTTATTTTGGTAATTTTACGATCGGATGGAACGGATGACGTTTTGCGCCGTTCCATGATAATTCGTCTGGCTTGGCTCGTGAAAACTTACTCGCGTATACCATGAGTTTTCGATTAAGGTTCACGGTGTTTACGATTTTCATCGTGAGGCCGCGATCTCGCTGTTCGATACGGTAACTCTGCCATTTTGTTGAAGCAAGAACAGCTGTATCTTGAAATCTTGTTGCGTGTGGCACGTGTTTGAAATTGCGGTGAACTTATTCGGACCATAACAACTATATTACGCGGATGTTTATGTAAGTTCTAGATTTTAAAAATGAATTTCTGACACGAAATACAAAATTGTTCAATTAGAATCTGTTTTATTCTGTTTCGTAGAATCAAATATGCTGTGAATGTGCACGAACATCCCCAATCTAACGATGATATTTCGAGACCAACGTTTCAAAGAGTTAACAGAACGAGTTAAACACAGAAATATTCGAACTTGCATATAGTATCGACAACAACTGTTCTTGTTTCATCTTTAACACACATTACTTTATTTTCCGTTTCCCAGCGTAAAGCGGGAAATACAATTCTTTTCTTTTCTCGAGCGATATATCTCCCACCTTCAGAGAATTTTCATCGAGACAAGGAAATAGCAATATTTTTGCTACTCGTTCATAATACTATATCATCGATGTTATCTAATGTGTTAATGACGATGCCAACGTATGCACTCGCAATAATGGTTGAATAAAAGCTACACAAATCTTATCGTTATTGTCTGATCGGATCGATCGAGGTTACTTCTACGTAAAATATCCGACAACGATGCTGTTACGTTAACGGAGGATATATGCATTTGACTCGATTCCTATATCGATACTTTGTCTTCATTTTTATTTGTTTGGATAGATAAATTGACAGTCAACTTCTTGTGAGAAGTGTTCAAAGTGATCAAACTTTGAATATTTATCGTAATATTCTTAGTCGTGAAAGCCTTAAACCAGTTACCTACTTGTTTTCCATTAATCAGTGCATTTACTCTTCATTAAAATAATAACCTTGCTCATGTCTTGTTTGTATTAATATATAAATATTAATTATATTTTAAGAAGTTTCTATGACACGATTAAGTTTCTTTTATTTAAATAAATGGAAACTCAAATCAATGAACGTGTCAAAAAGTATATTCTCCATTGTACGCTTGAAACATTGAAATACGCTATAATGTTTTGAAAGTTGTAAACGTCATCGATGCGTATGCCCTGAGGTGGAGAAGTTGTAGAGGAAGTTGAGGTATAACATCCTACGCAATTCTTTGTGAGCCAGTCGTAAATAGTAATACATAAATATTAACCCTTTCACGGTTGAGGACACAAACGCAAGTACTTACGAATGATAGGAAACAGTGACAGGAGGGGTATAGTGAATCTATTTATTACATGTTATATTCTTTACGAATTATTTTCCACTTTAATACCTAAATAGTCATTCGTTTCCTTTAATTAATGGAAGAATTATTGATATGCCTGTTGAAGCGAATGTAATTGGCAAAGTAATTATGCCGTGATTAATAATTAACAAATTAGTTGTGTCCAATGGCCGGGCTCGCTTCGATTGCTCTGTTATTTATTAATCGCGATTATCAATTACTCAGCATTTCCAGTAGTTAATTATTACTCAGATCATACGTTCCTGCGTTTTGTGATAAACAGCTGCTCGTTTCCGCTTCACTACACCTCTTCTGTTCTCCACACAACTAAATAACCGTATAACAGTAGTCTGTATACTATGTATTTTAAAAACAGAGTTGTTCAACTGTTTGATTATCCTATCAATACGAATAACCTTGTTTCGTTCGACAATTAATTATTATCAGTACAGAATCGCACCTATAGGCATTACCAACAGTGAAAGGGTTAAAAGAATGTGATGACCGATCAAGAGAAAGAAGATGCACAATAACGATGTAACAAAACGGAGCAGGAAAATGAAAAAAAGGAATCGACACTTTCTTTTAGACGTTTCCAATCGGCAAAAAGAGAAACGGTTCGATCGGATTCGCCACGGCCGATCATCCGAAAAAATTCCGATCGTCGTCTCGATCGCGAGGAGAAAAGACATCCTAAGCATAGCCGCGCGTCAAGTAGAAGTGTTCTCGGTACATGTAGTGTGTAACGTTAGATTAACATTAAGACGCTGAAACATCTGACGAAACAGACAAGAAAACTCGAAGAAAAAGATTAAACGAAACGCGATTGTCATTAACTCTGCAGTAAGCCAGCCTACAAATGTCGCCGTAATTCATGGTTGATTACGGACAGAAAAATTCTTACGCAATTGTGTTCAGTTCAGTTTTCACAAAAAACGTAAAAAGCAAATGGTTGAGAACCGACCGATAGATTCATGATGTAAGCCTATTCGGAGTTCGCTCGATTGACGAGACGTAGATCCCACGAGTACTGCAGGGTTTACAGGGAATCGAGATGCTCGTTACAATGTCAAAGTTAAGCTTTATATGAGGAAAGACGAAGAGCGATGGAGGTGGGGACGTAGTAGCGAACAAAAAGAAAAATGAAGAAGCTATACGGAGCACTTGTTCAGAGTTTCGAGCGACGGGGTGATCATTAGTTGAATATTTTCGGGAACCGTGTCTGCGTTTCACGCACGACCGCGAGATCGAATTATTGGTGTCCGTAGAGGTATATTTTCTTACTGTATAACGGTAATTAGCTCTGCTGCTTTGACACGTTAAGGCCTTAGTACATTGAAATCAGTTACGTTGCATCGCTGTGCAAATGAGGGCGAACGATTCGTTGCACACAGGCGAAGAGTCATGGAAATGTTGAAACTTTGTTTTCAAAGCTGTCTTAAAACTATTACATTTAGTAAAAATAATTTCCTTACGAAGAAAAGTATTAAAATTACATAATTTACAAGGAATCGAATATTTTTTGTAATAATAATATATCACATTTTATTAATTATATTTTACTGAAATGCCTCACTATTTTCACCGAGCAAGACTGTTTTAATAATTTAGATATTGTTTTATTCGGTTAATTGCTGAACATATTAGGTATTCATTCTTCAATTATTATGAAATGTGAATTCTTGAAAATTCTCCTGTGTGCGTTGGCTCGATAACGACAACGAATCACAGCAAAGAAAAAGTGAAAAAAGATTTGAATTGTTTCGCATGTGGACGATCCGACACGATAATTGACATGTGTACGTTGCTCGTTGAAATTCTAACTCAAACTGATCGATGGGAACTAGAGCCTTAAGCTAGTTGTAAAATTTTCTTAGGTACCTATTGTTTTGACGTATGGATTGTCTATTGTATGTCCGAGTGCTCGCGTCATTTGAAACGAACAGAGAAACGAAATCCAAACAATCTTTCGATAACTCCGGGACAAAAATAGACAGACGAGTGTCTCCGC